TGACCTGGGTGCCAGCGGGTCCTTCGGCGCCCGCTGCGGCAGTCGCGATGCCGTCGACAGCACGGGGAAAGCTGGAAGATGCCCTCCGAGCAGTTGACTGAGTGAGTTTGTCTTTTTTTATGGCTCTTTAAACATCTAGAAGTTATTTGGTGATGGGAGATGTTGCTTGAAGAGGCGCAATTCTTGGCCGCGCAGTCCTCGTTGTGAAACGACAAAGGTGCGCTCGGTGGGACTCCGAAGAGCCCAACTCCTCCCTCGGCCGGCTCTGTGACGCCGAGCCGTGGCAGACCGGGAGCAGGAGAAACCCGAGCGCCAGCAGCGAGTGCGCCAGCGTTTCAGGAACCCGTTACCTGCCGCTTTGGGGTTACCGGCTCTGTGCCCTTAGACCAGACAAACAGACCAGACAAACAGGACTGCGTAAAACGTTCTTTTATTAGGTGACGTCAGCAGCCCAACCCAGCAACTCGCCTGGACCGTGAGGCTCTGTGTTGACTCAATAGTACTTGAACAGCTGAGAAAAGTTGACTACGTCTCCCAAAGTGTATTTATGGAGCTGTATTTAGCGCTCTGGGGAAACACTGCCCATAAAACCTTTCAACGCTGTCAGACGTTTTCAATAACTTTTTTAAACACAGTCACAACTTCTTAAATCTACAAATCTTTCACTGAGAAAAACGACGTAAACCTTGTTGAAAGCATTCCCGTGAGCTATGGATTTGCCATTGGCAAACGCGGCATTTCACCGTGCTCCTTCCACCCCAGAACTAACTCACGGTACTTATCTCTGCACGAGAAAGGCTCATGCAACAGAGCAAACGCTGTTTGCGAGGCTCAGCTCCCTAAATACGAGTGCAGCTTAAGCTCCCGGCCAGGTTATTCAGCTACCGAGCGCTCTCCACGTTAACAGCAGCTATTTTCTCATCATGTCAGTAATAATACAGTAGAACGTTAACTTGGTTTAGAGATGTGAAACCTAAGACTCTCATATTTATTTAACTTGCTGAACTATCAATTCCATTAATAGAAAGAGCAACAGAAGTTTTTCACTTAACCTGAAAGCTAAGGCAACGCAAGCGTGTTACACACGCTTGTGCAATAAGGGCTTCCACAAGCCCCGTCCTTCCCAGCGGGGGTCTGGACCTGTCCCCCCAGGAGCCAGCCAGCGCCACCCCACAGCGCCAGCCGGCACAGGGCCAGCGCTGCCGCCTCCCCGCGTCGTTCTGCTTGGCTGGGGAACCTGCACACTGCCGCGGCCGTGTAGGCAAGATACTCTCATTTTGAATTCTGTTTAAATGGGAGAGAATGAGTTCCTAATGAAATCGAATCACTGCACGTCAATTTAATAGCAAACGCAAACGCAGGCGCTGATGCTCTAAGGTGAAACTGAAGAGACGGATCTTCTCCTCGACCTGTACTAAATGTTGGCACTTAAACCTTTCAAAGCGTACTTCCAAACTCCTGTCAAAAAGGAGCACAGCAGGCACTAGGCGGATACCTTTATTTCTTGGACTTCTTTACAGGTTCTTTGACTTGCTGGATAATAACTTTCATGATCTTTTCCATTTTGGCTTTTGTCAGTGACTTTCTGCTGTACCATATCTGGTCCCACATGGAGCACAGGGGCTTGGGCGTGAGATAAAGGGGGTCGTAGTCATGGAGCATATCCAGGGGCCTCCTCTTAGCGTACTCCTTATAATCTGCGACCGGACAGTTTCCGGGATTGTCGGGCTTGGCAAAGAGGCGTGGACCCGCTTCCCCTGTATTCACCTCCGTGCTCAGATCATCCTTCCACTCCAAGTACTCCAGCTCTCCCTCATTCTTTTTCAGCACGAGCTGTCCCCAGTACAGACTGGGGCTCTGACTGTGTGTACTTGCCCCAAACCCCCTAATGGTGTTTGTGAACATGAGGTTCAAAAAGCCCTGAGGGTGCGCCTTACTTAAAATTCCCTTCTTACGAAGACTTTCCACATCTTCATCTGTCAGATTCTCCAAAATACTCCACTCTCCCTCCCTCTCTTTTTGAGAGAGGTGCTGATGCTTTAGTTTCAAGGCTTCCCGCGACGCTCTGAATTCCGGCCCTTTAACCACGCTGTACTCGTAGTTGTGATCCTTGAGGTATCTCTCTATGCTGCTCTGATAGAAGTGCAAAGAATTGGCGGAAAAATCTGTGCCGTTCCGTCTCTTTGCAGAACTGTAGAACGAGGCCAGGTAATTATTGAGGTCTTCGGGCGGCAGATCATAGATCTCGCGCGTTTCAGAAGGGCAATGTAAAACCAGCCAGTCTTTGAAAATTTTTATATCACCACTATTACGTTTTCTCTTTTTCTCCCACTTCTTCAACGCATCTAGAAGATAAAACACAGCTTTGTGAACAGCAAGAACTTACAAGGAGATCAGTGAAATATAAGGAGATGCAGAGTAACATTCACCTTCCTTTAAAAAGTAATTCAGAGATTATGGGACTTCCACAAGCCCCTTCCTTCACAGCGTTGGTCTGGACCTGTCCCCCCGCGAGCCAGGCGGCACAGGGCCAGCGCTGCCCTGCTCGTTCTGGCTTGGCTGGGGAACCTGCACACTGCCGTGGCCGTGTAGGCAAGGCACTCTTTCATTTTGAATCTCGTTTAAATGGGAGAGAACGAGTTCCTAATGAGAATGAATCACTGGGTGTCGTTGTGGGGTGCACATTCTACGGGCTTTCTCAGGCAGCAGAACAGGACTGGAGCCCGGACCTGTCTTTGGTGGCTTGGCTTGACCCTGAATTTCACCCGCGCCGATTTTGGAGTTGACTCTGTGTGTGCTCATGGCACCACTCTCATGGGACCGGTCACGTAATCGGCGGCTGCAGTCCTGAGCCTGCGATGCTGGCCATGCAGCCCAAGCAACTCCAAATGGATCTGATACGCTCTCATCAATTTGCAACGACTGTGGTGCGTATTTTATGGTGACTGCAGGGGCCAAACTCTGCTCTGTTAAAATAGGTGAGAGTTGGCCTGTACATGGATCTTGTGATCTGCCCCAGGACTAGGGAGCTGCCATTTCATATCTGCAAAGTGTTGTATAAGGCATTATGCAAAATACATTTTAAAACATTCATCTTTACAAAAATCTCTTCAGAGCAAGAGAGCTCGCACTGTGAAATAAAAACATTAACTAAAAGTTAGGCATGGATAGTATGGAAAAACAAAAAGATGAGTAAAAGTGTATTTATTTATTCCTTAAAAAAAAAAAAAAAAAAAAAAAAAAAATTGCCAGGATTCCGGTTGGGTTCTCTCTCGAGTTGCTATGGCAATACCACATCTACCTAGTTCGATGTAGCATGAGAAATTAATTCTTTGGATTGCTGAAAAGCTCCATCTGCTCGCCTGCGCCTCTTCCAGGGCTGACGAGGGGTGGCTGGAACAGGGTTCTAGAGCCAACGTCTAGAGATTCCCCGTCTTGCACCAAGCTATTTTGTACGCACTTAGTTGTTATCTTAAAATGCTGCGGCTGGACTGAGGTGGAGTCTACTGATCCCTGCGCCACTGTTTGCGGTTTTCTGCTTGTTTTGTTAGTGACTGCTCTGTGAAGGGGTGAATGGCTTGGAAATCAATACACACAGAGGCCTCGCTTGAGCCACCACCCATTTATCTTGGCAGAAACGGCGACACAGACATTCCCAGGTGAATTCCCAGTCCCTCCAGGTGATAGATGTTGCCAATTACAAAAATAGTCAAATCCTGTTCACAAAAAGCAGCTGTGCCAGTTTGCACAGTTGGGGCCACACAAGGAATACAAACGTCTGTAACACTGAGTTTATTCAGGAACAGTAATGGTGCTTTAAAAGTACACCCACTGTGTTACAGACAACCCCCAAGATACTGTTTTGGCAATCTCTTCTCTTTGGAATGCCACTGCCCGTCCCCTGCACTGCACAAACCTGCAGTAGGTGTTGCTCTTTAACGCTGCGGCTACGTGAGATAGGTCCTTATTTCAGCAGAGCACCGGACACAGCTGTCTGGTGCTGCGGGACGGGTATTTGGGGTGGGACGGGGGCAGCGGAGTTCCAGGAGTGCGGAGATGCGGTCAGTCGGGAAGCGTCCTGCGTGGCCGCAGGGCATGGCCACAGCAGCTCTGCCAGGCTGGTGCCCGGCGTGCCACGGGCAAGGCCGTGGGGCCGGACTGCGGGAGGAGAACAGGTTTTGGGGAATATGAAATGGGATTCTCCTACTGAGCACGCGGAGTGAGACACACGCTGTTGGGGGCTGCTCCTCACTTAGATGGAGCCAAGGCGTTAAGTTAGATGAAGTGGCGTTAAGCCACTGGATAGAAAACATATACTCTTACTCTTTGAATTAAATTTTTAAAATCTGCCTCAATGTTTACACCCAGATACTAGCAGACAAAACCATTAAACTGGCTAGACAGCAGTTTCCTTAATATTAATGTGAAAAAGGACCTGCAGGCACTCAAATCATTAGAGATGCAAATTTTGGGGCTTTACTATAACATCTTTAAAAACCTGGACATTTGCATTTTGTTTGAGGTGTTTAATCATTAGATTACAAAATATGTATCTACCTGGCATTAAGGCTCCAGTGTATTATACACATCTATCCTAAAAGATGATCGTTTATTAAATGAATTACACTGATTTTACCGGTGGCTTCCCCGCTGCTTGCAAAAGGCTAGCATGATCCCGATAATGTCCACAGCTGTTCCCTCTTGTGTGGACCGTGGCAGTTTTACAGCAGGACTACAACAGCCGCAAGCCAGCCTTCCAAAATCTTTGTCAAACAGCATATTCTTATGATACAGAATAATTTAAAATATGCTCTGTGCATGGCTTAGCCTCAGTATTGGAAGTCCCCTAGTAAGCAGTGTAGCTTGCAAGTTAATGTTTGAGCAATTATAACTGTCCCCACTCCAGTAGGATTCCAAGGACAGTGTGTATCAAAATCTTAAAATTCTTAAAAGCACTAAAGCAATTTGTTTAGCTCATGTAATTTAATATGGAGGGTTGAAACTTTGCTCCCATTGTGATCTCTGGGATCTCTGACTTTGGTGCAGCCAGAGTTTCGGCCACAATTTCTCTGTTTCACTGCTTTAAAAGTTACTTCCTCTTGTTTTCTTCTCTTGAGACCCGAGTTCCCATCCCTGGCTCCAGTTTCTCACAGGGACTCCCTCTTAAGTACAGCCAACATACTGTGTGGTGACACCACGTAAAATGAAAGACCAAAGTATTCAAACTGGGTTGTTAAGGCTGGACCACAGCCAAGTACACATCTGGGCACCTCAGTGAAAGGCATGATCTATCGAAGCGCTGATTGCTTTACCGTAGGAACCTTCTTAGTCCCTTTTACTGGAAACAAGACTGCCCCAAATCAGAGGCGTTTACTTAGATACTACAGTACAGATTTTGGCAGCTATATGAACTCACCCTCCTTTAATATTTTGGGAAATGATTAATAGAACACACTCACACACCCCTCCAGGAATAAAACGCCAAACTCTCTTACTTTCATATGAAGATGCGGGTGGATGGTCTGCGTTGTTGCGCTCTGGATTCAACAAGGCTGAAAGATGAGGTGCATGCCCAGATCCTGACGGTTCACCCTCCTCCACAGGGTTTTCTGTAATGTTCCCGCTTAAGCCTACTCCTGGTGTGCCATGGTCCGGAGGGCTCAGCTGGAGTTGCTGCTGGACATCTACAGTGGCTTCAAACTCGAAGAATGTCACAGAGGCGGGTGACTCAAGTTGGGCCTTTGCTTCAATGTTGGAGACAGGAACAAATTTTAAATGCTCTTTTGGTATTGCTGACCCAGTGGTGTTTCTTGCTCTGGAAGCTTCAGTTCCGGACCCTGCAGGATTCAGAGGTGCTAACTGCTGCCTGCTCTCCAGGCTCTCTTGGTTGCTGACGGGGGATTTCAGAAGGCAGGCAAGAGTCAGGGGTGGCTTTCCTGCGGGGGCAAAGCCAGATGCTTGGATGGCTGTTGGCTTGTTAAATGCCATCTTCTGACTACGATGCATGTACAAATCTACCTCGGCAGTTACACCTTTAATTGGTGATTCTGACAGAGTATTCTGGTTGATTCTGTCTCCTTGGTTGTCTTCATCTGATATACACTGTTCTTCATCAGAGATGATCTGTACATCTTCATTGCTTTCTAGCTTTACCTTATGTCTGTCAGTTTTGACTTCACCACCAGATGTTGACAAATGCTGCTTTGCTGCAAAGCACGATTTCATGGATTTGCTATTTTTCCCATTTTCTCTGGGTGATTCCCAGAGAGGTTCATTCCGTATTATGTAGACTGTGTTGTCTTTCTGCTGAGTGACCTCTGGAGATCTGCTTCGTGACCCTGTGCTAACAGCATCTGCTTTAGCCCTCTCAAAAGATGGGGTCATCCTGAACCTCTTTTCATCTAAATTAGCCTCCCTTGATGAAGCCTCAGAAGACACTAACCTCTGTCTCTTTCCTCCAGCTTTATTCTCTTCTCTGCTTCTGAAGTATAATTTTCCACACTGCCAGTGATAGGCATGTCCAACTCCACATATCCACACAACAGAATTGTCCTTGCTAGGATGACCCGTGTTCTGCACCGTGTCCAAGGCTGGGATTTGATTGCATATGGTCCCATGAGCGTGTGCCCAGGTCACAAGACTGGAGAGATCCATGTGAAGTGAACTGGCATCGCTGCACCCTCCGTCACCGACACTCTCATTCTGAAAAAACATGTTGGAGATAAGTTAAGTGGAAGAGCCCTGGGGACTGTTTCTAGCCCCATCTCAATAGAGCAATAATTATTTTTTAAAAAGAATCATTAGACGAATCACTGATCTACAACTTGTTCGTTCTTTCAAATAAATAAATAAATTTGTCCACTTTGAAGACCTGGAGGGCAGTTTGTGGGCATGGTCCTGGAACGATGAATTTATCATAGATACAATTTATGCGTACCTATGGGCTCCGAGTCCCAATCAAGTAGCTCAGCTTAAGAATTTATCACACCTCAGCTGAGCCACAGCAGCTGTTCCCGTGCGTGTTCTAAATCCACAGCATAACCGAGATTAACGCTCTGGCTGAACCACCCAAGCAGCGACCACAGTTCAGCTAACGGAAGGGAAACTTCCTGAAGTCTAGTGCTCTGTTTGCAAATCGGAGGCCTCTGATCTGAGCAAGCTCGAACCCATGGCCAATTCTGTACTCACTTATGGAAAATAACATGGGAAAGTGTCAGGAATCAGCTTCTTGGTCTCCCACCTCCCCATGGCCAACAGGGCTCAAACTTCTTTCATCTGTCAACGTGGCAGCACTAATTGCATCAAAGGGAAATTGGCTATATGAAGTTGTTGTTTGTGGGATGCTTTTCAGAAACTAAAAAATGGAACTTGCACCCCCATATTTAAAACCTTTTTTTAATAAAAATCTACATTTTTTAATGCTATAATTGATTCTGCTAGAAACAATTGTCTCTGGTATCACGCTATAAAAGAATACTCACCATGCTGCTGTTGTCTATCTCACTGAGCCTTCTCTCAGGTGGAGATCAGTAAGTGACTGAATATTCTTTCTTTCTCAGAACCTAAAATAATCATCATATGTGTGTGCGTCTATATGTGTGTGTATATATATATTTTAAAAAAATCTGGCTAGCAGATGCAACTAAATTTTTCCATGCTCAGTCCAAAATAAATGCTATTGCAGAACACGTGCCTTCATTAAGGTGAGCTCCCATTGAGCTCGAATGAGCTATACATAGAAAGCTTGACTCGTGTAAATATTTGCAGGATTAGCCTCTACAGTGTACCAATCAAAGTTGAAACTAAATATAAATATTGAAAATAGTATTTTAAAAACCAGACTCTGCGAGATGTTCCTTTCAGCACTGGCACTTTGAACACAAGCTGTGGTTAGCAATCTTTACTTCTCCAAATCGAGTGAACTGCAGAAACAGAAGTACCAAAAATAGTGAAGCTAGTTCAGATTCTGACATTATCTGACTTTTCAAATAGTAAAAAGAAGAGGAATTTTCCTAACTAAAGAATTCTTTGCATATATAACTCATATTTACTAGAGACGAAATCTGAAATTCTCCCATCTGTTTTGAAAAGTTCTGTGTCGCAGTCTAGAAAGTCGTCATCATTTCTGTGTAACAGCTTAGAGCACAATCGGTGCCATAACTTACCGTCAACACCCATACTGCAGGAGAGGCAAGCAGCCTTACGATGCTGTGACTGACACCACGTGCATCTACAGTTCCTAATGGCAGCCTTTGCTCCGGGCAGCTTAGGCTATTATTAATTAAAAGCTTTGCATTTAGTGGTGGTAAAAGATGCCAGAATGAACAACTGGATGCAGGAATGTTGTCTAAACTGGTTCTTTGAGCAGCTCTGGCCTAAATGTGACACGGCTTCCCAGTGAGAACAGACCCCTGTTGGCTTTGCAGGTGAGCACGCACGCGTGCAGAGCTCAGCACGCCGCGAGCACACGTCCTGGCCGGGTGCATGAGCTCGAGCCTCCGGCTCTCCTGCTCCGCACGCTCCTGTTCTCCGAGCGAGCTGCCGCAGACAGGAGAAGCCCATCCCAGCTGACAGATGTAGGGCTGCTCTGTAATCTGTGAATGCGGTGTTTGTCTGCAGGGATTTGTTTCATGAGCACGCTCGTTAAACGGAGGGAAAGCCTGTGAGTGCACAGGCAGGAAAGTGCCGTACTGCAGAAGCCCTGCGGTGCACCAGCACCCGAGTCAGAGGCTACGCCTGGTGCCTCTCGCGCCCTACCTCCACCAGCCATCCTTACCGGCTCCGCGCAAGGCGGTGGGGCGAGGAGGGACGCGGGTGAGGCTGAGGAGCTGTGTCTGGAGGAAGAGAAGCGCATGTGACTGGCCGGGCTGCCCGGGACGGCCAGCAGCCCCGTGTGCAGGGTGAAGCGTGGTGGCTGCTGCAGGGCTCGGCCAGCCTCAGTGACATGAGGTGGGGATGTGGAAACCATGCGGTGGGAGGCCCTTACCCTCTCCCTCTCCAGCCCGGCACCAGGACGGGGTCACCTGGGGCTCCCCGAGGCTGCCTGCCCTAACCCAAACCCCCTCATGGCCCGCAGGGACGGCCTGAAGGGGCCCAGGGGCACGCAAAGGAGCCTGGCCGGCCGGGGTGGGGGCAGCTGGCTGCCCCCTTCCTGTACACCCATCCTCACCATCCCATAGCAGCGTTGAGACCAACCAAACCCGAAGAAAACCCAGCGACTGTGAAACTGCCTCTTGGCCGAGCTGCTGCCCTGCAGAGGAGCCCTCTGGCAGCGTGTTTACAGGTGCCCTGCTCCGTCCATCCGTTCCATCCGTTCTGCTGCGGGAGCTGCGGGGCAGCAGAGGGATGGGCGGCCGAGCTCCAAGGCTGCGGCTGGCTGGGCACTTACCCACCACTTAATTTTAAGTGAATGCTTCGATCCACTGGCGCCAAAGCTAAATGTGCTCTGCTGGATGCGAAGCCTAAGCGAGTGAGCATGCAAAGACTTCGGGCAAAAGTTTAATTGTCCCAAGCAGGAAGGGGAAAAAGAAAAAAGAAGCCATGGAAGTGGTGTGGGCTTCCACAGTGCCCAGCACGAGGGAGCCTGTCTGCTGCCTGAGTGAGGCAGGGTAACGACTGCAATGACAAATACCCCCAGAACAATTAACGAGTGTTTGGTAGTTAGGCAAAGCTCACCCCTAAGAGGAACAGAAACAAACACACGCAAAGCATACAAGAAGAGCCCTCTCTAACCTCAGGCGACGGGGCAGGGAACTAAATGTCCCTTGCGAAGAGAAAAGCACAGGTCAAATCTCTCGCAGTGCGTCAGTTGTACTTCCTGATGGGGATGAAGAGTGGGCATCGGAACCGCTCCTCTTTGGGGTGAAACTGCTGCACGGCAGCACAGCTCTGGAAGGCCCTTCTGCACTTACGCTAGTACCAATCCATATGCTCCTTCTCACGGCTTTCTAATGATAGTATGGATAATTTTAGCCTAGAATGCTTTGCTGTTTGCATATGCTAGCTTGTGAAACATGCGGAGCTAGGATTTTCAAATAATTTTTTAACTGAAATCTGCTGCTTGCTTTAAACAAAAACCAGACCAACCCCCCCTATTTTAAAGCAGCAAATGCATTTGGAGCTCTTGACCCCTGTTAATCTAGGCGTCGTACGGGATCTACCGTCACTGTGATCTCACTGCTAACAAATCACAGAAAACAGGGTTGGAAGTCACCGCAAACGGCCGTTTCAGCTGTCCTCATTCCACAGAGGAAGAAAGAGCTCTGCCCAAACTTCTCCTGATGGGTGTTCATCTAACCTGTCCTCGACCCTTCCAAGGACCGGGGATTCACGGCCTGTCCCCAGGTCTCACTGCGCCTCGGAAAGCTGAGCCTAAACTTATGGGAGAACCATTCTTCCCCTCCTGCAGTCAAAGAGAGTTTTATCTTCAAGTTCAACCTAAAGGGCTGAGCTGCTTAGACAAACGAAAAGGAACTTCCCTGCCAATAACTCGGTGCTTAGAATTAGTGTGGGAAAAGGTAACAGAAACGGAAGCTCTGCATGGTCATAAGGCCATGAAATTACTGACTTTGCAGATGAACATCTTGATTTCTATCACAGCCGTCTTTAAATGGAATGCTTTTATCTTTCCTTATCTCCAAGCACATGTCTTCCTTTTCCTGATCTCTTTGGAAAAAAAAAGCCTTTTTTCTCTTGATATTAGTTCCAAATAAAGGCTCTGGTAATCAACTAAGGACACTTCTTCAGCCCACTCCTGCTCTCATATTTACATCAGTTGAGAGTACCTCCAAAGAAACTGTCAAGTGGAAGGAGTCTGAATTCACAGTTACAACTGAGCAGAAAAAAATTGAAATATGTATTTACCCACAAAGGCTGAACTTCAATCTCTTCAATTAATAAAAATCCATCTTGACCACTGCCACAATTTCTACCTGCTTCCAGCAGAGCCAGCATCCCTGTGGAGGAGGGTTCTGGGGTTGGAGTTTGGGGGTTGAGTTTTGTTTGGAAACCTTGGGGCTGGTTCAGTATCTGCATGGCTGGAAGTGATGCAGCGGTTTAATTGTCTTTCCAGGAGAGACTCCCATCTGATAATGGACACTGTGTGTGCAGGACCCACACCTTTGTGCGGAAAAACAGGACATTCCAAAGCTGTATGGTAAATGTTTTCTTTTAATTTTTTTTAACCCATAGGGAATTTAGTGCACTAATATAACCTATAGTTAAGTGAATTCATGCTCACTAGAGGAAAAAAAAAGTTTTTTAAAAAGAATCTACAAGATTTTGCTTTCTCATGCGTCTGGTCTACACAGTAAGCTTTCAAGATGTCCGCACTGTATATGCTTATTTTACCTCAGTATTCAAGAAAATGTGGCCAAGTAATTTCAAACACATCTACAGCATTTCAGTAAAACTCAAGGCTGACTAAAAGCATTGAAATGCTTATTTGGTTTTAAGACTTTCCTGTGTCTAGTTTGAGCCCTTGGGGAGGAAAAAACATACTCAGCACTTTCTGAAAATGATTCTCTTGTAAGGTCTGTCAAACACAGGTACCTGGCATCACCTGAGAATGTAAACATCTGAATCTTACTCTCTTTACATTTCGGTGGACTCTGTGCAGCATTACGGCATGCTGAAGGTTCTCTGAAACCCTCTCTGACATACGCAGGCTTACACAAGCAGGATAACTAAATAAAGAAACTAATTGTATAGGCACTGAAAGCCCTTTAACCACTTTGTTCCTGTCCCCCCACCCTTTAATAGCCCTAGCTATGTTTCTCTTAAGTATTATAACGTCTATTTATTTCACAGATTAGAAACCTAAGGCACACACAAAGCAAGTAAATATGAGAGCTTTGGCTTTTCAGCTCCAGATAAGACAGTGCAGGAAACTGGAACAATCCCAGTAGGAAAACAACAGGATACAGAACAGCAGTTCTTAAACTTGACTCCCTCCCCCTTCCCCCGGCACGGACTGTGTGCTCCCACTCACTTGAGAAACACTTACTGGAGGTGGAGGGACACGGGACAGCCGTAAAATACACATATAGAGGGGGCGTACTGCCAGAGGGCTGCCAGGAATGAAGGACGCTGACAGGGGGATGTGGTGTCTGGGGCAGGAATGGGATGGAGCTGTACTTAAACACATCTGGTTGCAAGACGGGAGTTGAGAGCCGAGCAGAAGTAGCTCATGGCTGCCAAAAATTGTTGAGCTTGTCCCACCACTTCTTAGCGAGGGCCTTTGGGGTGGATTAATCATTTCCCAGCACATCGTTTTTCCTGTTCTCTGCGATGTTTGTTTCTCTCCTCCCCTTCCCCTGTACAAGAGCCTTCTCAGCACCTCTTCAGCTCTTTTCCTGCTTCACCACGTCCTTCCCCCATTACCTCCTGCCCTACTTGCAGAAATACAATATACAGTCTGTAGTTGCTACAGGGTGGCATTCCTCCATTTTGAGAGATGCTCCGAGAAAATAATATCCAGTACATCTGATGGAGGGCAGGGTCTAACTGCATGCACCAGCTCCGCGCCAGGGAAGAGAGACTGCTGTTAAATATTAGCCTGCAGCACCACATTCCTTAAACAAGAGCGTTTTTGTTCAAAGAATGGGACACAATTTTTTTCAGGAGTCCTAATCATCTCTTCTCTTGAGGGTCTGCATTACAGAGCTGCTGTCCTTGTAACATAACTGTGAGCTCTAAATCAAGTCTTCTTAAAAGAGCTAATAAAAGCCGCAGCCAGCTGGCAAAGGATTGCCTGCTCCAACAAACAGTAATCAACCACTAAAAACAGCTGTAGCAAAGGAAAAAATTAATTTAAAACCATCAAGTTCTATAAATAGGTCCTAATATTTTATTTCCCCCAGGAAGAAGTGGGAAAGCTGAAATTAGCGAAGTGCAATTCTGTTACTTGGGCAGAAAATGCGACAACATCGATAATAATTGTGTTAGTTACCCTGTTAACACTGCCATTTGTGATCAGCTTCACACTTACGGTTAGTGCCGCCGGGGGAGAGCGGGCCATTATTTTCTGTAACAATTCTATATGCAGGCTGCTTTCCATGTCCTTGGACTTTTTATTTTCAGTCCTGCACTATGGATGAGTATATAATCGTATCAGCATAGAACTGACTGTGGGAACTTACCGTGTTCCCCAGCAGCCATTTGTATTAAAATGATCTTCTTTCACTTAATTAATGGAAGAAGATGTCTGTTGGCAAGAAGGCACTTGTAGGAGTGTTTGCTCCTCTTTTAATTGCTTCTCTCACGATTTGTGGTATTTTTCATAAAGCACAAGCTTCGCTAGTCATGGGATAACATCATCATCTCCTACTATAAAAATCACTTTTAATCCTCGCAGTTCCGTGGAGTTCGACTGCAACGGGCTCAAAAATAAGAGGGGAATGCTGTAGGACTTGGATTCTTTTGTTCCTTTTCCCCAGGCCCGGCAGGCGCCGCTCGCTGCCCGGCAGAGGGTGCTCGGTCCCCGCCACGCGTGGCCGCCCCCGCCCTCGCCCGGGCCCCGGTGGCCCAAAGCGGCGTTCGCTCGCCGCTCCCACCGCCTCTCCTTGCCGGGCCCCCGCTCCCACGAACAGATATTGCTGCTAATGGCGGGGTCGAGGTCCTCTTACATGAATACTTCGGGTGAAGGCACAATCCCACTGCACTTCCCCGTTCCTGCCAAAGAACCTTTGCACCTGGAGCTCCAGGAAAAGAAAACAGCAAAAATATAGTGCAAAACTCTCACTATAGACTGACTGACCTCTCAACGTGTCAACTTTATAGGAAACTTGCTATCTTACCGCTAAAAATACAGCATGAAAATGCTGACCGGTAAGGTTGCCTTAGCCAAGTACAGAGACTTCTCCGCTTGCGGTCCGTGCAGCAGGGATAAGGGTGGTACTGTGTCTTTGGTTCTTTCAATTTCTGTGCTGTTGATGGATTTTATTTTTTTTTTAATATTATATAACAGCA